GTATAATATAATTTTTTACCAGATTATTGATTTTTTCTCTTTCAAAAATGAGTGTCTCGCTTCGCGTTTGTGTATGTGAAGAGCGTACTGTATGACAAAGTGGGATTGTACGCTTATCTAGAGCCTTATGATAGTTCATTTTCGCATCCCACTGAAATAAGTTGTAACTTGTTATAGAAATTATGAAATGACAGATTAACAGTTAATTACTGTTTACATTTGGCAGTTACAGCACCTTTAAAATACACTTTTTTAATGACGCGCACATTACTTTTAATACCTAACAAAAGCGCTTGAATTACCCGAAGGCCCAGAACTTAACATGATGGCGGACGTGTCCCTACACCTCAGAGAAATATTTAATTTTTGATTGGACTAAGCTTTGTTCCGGGCGATGCGTTGGAGCATAAAGAAATGGATTGAGTTTTGACCAAAAGATTTGAGAGATTTGAATTATTTCTGAACGGTTCTTGACAGAATTTGCACGGGACACTGCCAAAGGGCTGGGCAGAGAGGAGCCGCGCGTCCTAAACACTTTCGAGAGACTGCGAGGGGCACCAATGTATTAAGGTTGGCGACTACGACCTCTCATCTGCGTCTGCGTCTGCATCGCAGATAACGCACAGTTCAACATCGTAAGATAAGGAATCGCCAAAGGCTTAGAAATGAAACGTACAAGTATGTAAAGTTAAGTAAATTATAACATAGGTAATATGTAATGTAGTTAAATATAACATAAACTAATTGAAGTATAACTTAAATAATGCTTTGTTTTTCCTTGAGATTGACCAATGAGAAGAAGTAGTCTTTTCAACTTCATTTACATGCCGCCAGAAGTTGCTTTGTCTAGCCTCACATTATTTTTTGAACATTGTAGAAAGAACTGCAGAAATGTGTCTGACTCTTTAGCCTTAGAAGCAAGTATCACAAAATATGTATCAAAATAGAATCGTATTATCAGTTTAAACACACACTAGCTTCAATAGAAACGAAAGACATTAAAAAATTATTAATGTGAATATTAGCAAGAACTAAAAAGGAAAGAAAATAATTAAATCATAGGGCATAATTTTTAATTCCTCCCAGGTTTTTACCAACGTTATTAAAAATAAGGAAATATATTGTGAGTTGAACACAAAAATAAACCAACGAATTTTGAACAGTTACGTCACGATTTTGCGTTTTACGCTCACTTCACAGTTGTCATGGTAACCCCCACTCTATTATCTGTAATAACAGTAAACTCGTCATTCAATTCAGTTCACTGAACTGTACAGAAAAAATCCTCTTTGCTCCAGAACGTTCAAATCCCATAGAGAGTTTAGATTGGTCCAGCCAAAATCGATATTCAGCACAGAGGGGAAGCAACGAAGGACGAATTTGAAGAAACGAGATTTCAACATAATGGTTGCACCCAGCCCCCACGCTTCGATGCACATGATCGACCCACTGCATTTTTATCCATCGTGCACGGGTGATATCACAGGGCTCTCGTCAACTTGAATAATAAAAGAAGCAATTCGAAGATTCCAACTATTGGAGTATTATTTTAAAGGGGGTGATTCAACTACTCTATGTATTACAAAGGGAGCTAGCAAATCTGTTTCACTTTCAAAACTGGAATGATTGAAATAAGAAGTCAGAAAATTATTGAAATTGTGGGTAATGCACTTTTTGTTTCTCTGTCTTTTTCTATCTGCAACTTTGAGGTCGTTTGAAACTTAGATATTCGGAAATATGAAATTACTCTTCTCTAATTCATATTTGATTTCTCACTTAAAAAATCATTAAATATCATTGTTCGTTTGATCCAAGGAAAAATTTAAAGATCTAAATTGAATGAATACAAATCACTATTTAGACTTCTAGAAGAGCGCTTGTTCTGCTTGTTACCGAGGATCTTTTAGTTGTGTTTCGGCTAAACAAGTTTGTGATCTCTAATATTTATCAATCGGGCAATCTTGAAATTTTATTCACATTCTCTCCCGTTGAAATTAAATTTTACAATTTGTACATGTTATAAATAATTTTAGTTGTGTTTGACTTTTTGTTTTAAGTTATCTTAAAATGTTTTCGAATGGGATAAATCTGACAACTGGTAACGTTATTAGAACAATTTAAACAATGCAAATTTCGGAATATGGATAGATTATTGTTACGTAGGTGTTAACATTTCCTAGACTACTCCATATATGTTGTGTATTATCCACACAAGAAGTTGTCGAAAGTATATATTCCCATTCTGCCTTAAATATTTCCATTTGATTCGAAATATATAGGTTATGCAGTTGACCATCGTATAATGTTTGTAATGTTAGAAAGAACAAATTTATTTACATTTCCGACATTTTTATCATCTCTCCAAAGGCCATTGTTCATACAATCACTCTGAAAGAAAGTAGTTAGTGTGGAAGATTTAGTCAAAATTCTTGTAGTTCATCTTTTAGGTAAATATTTTAAATTGCATTTTGTGCTTAAAACAATAAAGAGTAGTGACTGCGGCTGGAATACGTAACACGTTTATATGTTCAAGCTCTCAAATGTTTAGTGAAATAAATTGACACATCGTCTTTAACTCAGAGAGATATATAGATGTTTCCAAGGGCCGCCTATCTCTTGGTGGTAAAATGGCAGATGTAGCATTCGAGGAGTCAAGCCAAGTGGACGATGCATCACGTCGGCAGACTTCTCCCGCCCCTCCGCACTTCCTTCACAGTTGGAACTTGGGGCAACCGTACTTCTCCCGCGCTCCGTCCTTTCCGTCCTCGGCCACCGCCCCTCGATTTCATCACCCTCTCCGTCCACCTACCCTCCATCCTCGACGTCCCTTCGTTCCCCGCCTCCCTGACCTCGCTGACCCTGTCGTACCCCCGGTATATTACCCAGTCATTCGTAGCCTAAATATCCTTACCGTTCCCGTTTTATCACCGCATTACAGTCCTCTTAGACTCGGTGCCCACGCCCACCTTGTGTCAATAATCTCGGCTTTCCGTCGTTTCTGTTGTCGCCGTCCCTTCGTCTCATGGTTTCCGCCGACCCCCGATCCACCCCCATAATATTTCCCGTCCCCACCATCCTCGCCATGTCCGCCGTCCTCCCCATTCTCGCCGATTCCGCCATCCTCGACGCCCCGGCCATCCCTGCCTTCCTCACCGTCCCCGCCAACCTCGCCATTCTCACCGTCCCCGCCATACCCGCCATCCTCACCGTTCCTGCCATTCACACCGTCCCGTTATCCTCGCCATCCCTGCCATCCTCGCCATCCTCGCCATCCTCGCCATCCTCGACATCCCTGCCATTCGTACCGTCCTCACCGATCCCGCCGTCCCCACCTCACTCACCGTCCTCACCGTCCGAGCAGTCTTCACCATCCTTTCCGTCGTCACCGTTCCCTGTCGCTCTGTTGCTCTCGTCTTTGCTATCTTCCCCATCAGCATTGCCTCCCCTCTTCTCTTCAACCCCCTCGCCCCGAAGTTCGTTCTTACCGCCGCCCACGCTACTTCCACCGCCGCGGTTTCTCGACTGCTCCTCTTGCAACTTCTCGCGACGAGAAATCTGTTTAGTTTCGCAAGTTTGGAGGCCGGCGTATAAACACGTCCCGAGTCGGCGCGTGGGCGGCGGTGCCAGTGGACGGGCTCCGGGGCTGCGTTGAGCCGCTGGAAAGGATGTGTGTGCGAGTTCAGCCGACAAGTGTACCGCCCGCCTTCTTTACACTGTGGTCGTCGTAAATAGTCGGAGAACGTTTTGTATGTTCGTGGGGTTCGTGTGGAGGATTACTTGCCTGTGAAATAGCTGCTGGGAAGTTTTGTATGGCTCATTAGTAAGGTTGTTTCGAAGGTGAATAAGATTTGAAGATATATGGAGGGAAAGTTGAATATGGTTTGTTTTCATCAGAATGTTTTGCAAAGATACCAGCTTAATAATCAGAATGTAAATAAATTAAACCAATATTTCTGAAAGACAAGCGTAAATTGATGTACATTTCAAATATATGTAAAGTACATGTAAATACATGTAGTTCAGGAAAGTAACACACAAAATTCTAACCTTTCCCAATGAAAAGAAAATAGTGTTTATTTAATTTCAGTTTCACTACAAAAATTTATTTTCTTGTTGTTCAAAATTATATAATTTTTATGACGAGAAAAGTAATTGTAAAACACGCATTGAGTGACAAAATCAGAGTTTTATGCCTACCTTTTATTTTGATTAGAGGTCATCGCGTGTTTGAGCACGAACTTAATTACTTACCCCGCCCGTTACTTGATTCAACATTCTACTTTTCCTGTCGCAACTGCATCGTAGATTGCAATGTTGTTTTTGTTTATTTACTCAGAAGGACGACATGCCACTTTTGAAGGACAATATACTGAGCTTATGCATACGTAATGAATTGAATAAATGGAAGATTTAATGGAAATATTTAAGAATATTTATTTAAATTTATAAACCATAAAATCAAGATTCGTGAATGTTATAATTACAAATGTAATATTATTGTATAAGTATTTGGAATAAAAAATGGGAGTCCCTTTACAAGTAGTTAAGAACAAGTTCATTATTTATGACCATTAATTCACATTCTGAAGGACATGTTTCTTCAATTTTTTCTAGTTCATTACAATTCTGATAATAAAATTACACGATTTCGAAGAAAATTTTCCTTAAAATTATTTGAAATTGATGAATAAAGATTGATGAATTATCATTTTTGAAATGTTTCTCAAAACAAATGAAGTATGAAACTGAGATTTTCTTTATTTGAACTTTATACCTTTAAATTCATAAGCTGCAATTATGTGGCAAAGAGACAATTGAGTTTGTTCTCGTTAGATCATTTTGTTACAAACGACAAATCATCAGTTGCTACAATTCGTTGGCGTGTAGAGGATCCTATTTGCTTTAATTTCGCAGGATAACGTATGAGTCTCAATAACGAATGAATCTCAATTTCATGCTGACAGTCAAATTAAATTTCTCTTGTTACATTATCTTTACAGGGAAACTGCACTAGAACATGACACTGCAGCAGCCATAATTATAACCCGGACTGCCTATATTTCACACGAGTGTCACATCGGAGCGCATATTCTGGCGATAGACGGCACGGAAGGTGAGGTCCGCTTCGGCCGTGCACTTTCCCACGCCCATTTCTCATTCGGTGCCGAGGGGGGGGAGGGACGTCTCGGCGGTGTAGGCAGCTGCAGATGTAGCGCGCGTTCGCCCCGCCCCGCCTGCACCCGCGCGCGCGCCCCCGCGGAGAGCTCCCGGTGCCTGACACGACGCGGCGCCCTCCTCGGTCCGCTCCTCTCTTTGCCTCCTCGCTTTCGCCTTCGGTTAGTCCCTGCTCCGTCTTCGACACGATCTGCACTGTCCCTCTGCCGTAATCTTACCTTCGCCTCACATACTCTTCCCTCTTCCGCTCCACCACCACTGGTCTCGGCCCGGTTTCGGCCCGGTCTCGGCCCGGTCTCTGCCCGGTCTCGGCCCGGTCTCGGCCCGGTCTCTGCCCGGTCTCTGCCCGGTCTCGGCCCGGTCTCGGCCCGGTCTCGGCCCGGTCTCGGCCCGGTCTGGACCCGGTCTCGAGCCGGTCTTGGCCCGGTCTCCGCCCGGTCTCGGTCCGATCTTTGCCTCTCTCCTCCCTCCTTCCTTTCTGCCACTCTTCGTTTCCCCCGACTCTTTCCCTCTTTCTTTTCTTCTCCCCGTATTGTGACTGCCTCTTCCAAATTTCTACCAATCATCGGCAGCTCTCCGTCTTGCATCTGCGCCACTTCCCATTCTCCGGCCAGCCATATATATATGGTTCACCTTGTTGCCTTTCTTCTTTGTGAAGCCTACTTTGACATCCAAACGATTTTCAGTCTCGTACCGTGTCGTTCCATTTCCTTACCTCACGTTCCATTCAATCCCTTTTAGTCACCTCCTCTCCCGTCCTGTCCTGCTCCATTACTTTAGTTCTAATGCGATCTGCCCCGCCCCATTTTGCCGTCTAGTCACCTCCCTCCCGTCTCGAAACATTTCTCACTACCCCCTCTTTTTATGCGGACATCTTTCTATGCGAAACTCGCTTTCACCTCCTTCACAACCTTGTACCCTTCTATTTCAACTTCTCGCACACCTCCCGCTCTGCATCTACGCAGCTATGTATCATCTCCAATTCTCTGCACACCAACATTTCCTACACTCACTGCTACATTCCCTCTGTCGTTCCCGCTCCGTTCTATTCAGCTAATTTATGCTTCACCACCCCGCCCGCGATGCTGTTACCGTCCTGTGACACAGCAATCCGTTCTCAAAGTGCAGCCAAAGCCCTCCATTCCAGTATCACCGAGCGAAGTGACTCAGGAAGTGACTCCGCATTCGGAAGACCCAGGTTCAACCCCATGCCGACCATCCTGACCGGGGTTTCCGTGGTTGACTTCAGTCATCCCGGACAAAGCTGGGATGGTTCTTCTGAAAGGCCACGGCCGCCAAACTGGCGTCACTACCCGAATTCGTTAACTACATGATGTCACGAAAGTCAAGCGAATTGGAGTCATCGCAGGTTCCTGGCTGAATGAGGGACTAGGAACCCCGGGATCTAACGAAGTCGATCTCTTTAAAGGATATATAATGTTTAAATACATATTCCAATATTAGCCGACAAGCGCTGCTGCAAAGCATTCACTCACCTTTCACTCGACAAGCGCACTCGCAACTCTGGCAACTGGAGAAGCCACACATAGTTTCTAAAGTCACACTACCAAAGCATTTATTTTTATCACAACAATATTACTGCACAATGAATCACTTCTTATAAATAGAATACCATTGAAATATTAATTTCAATTATTTTTTATCTCAAATGTATTTTCACGCAATTTATGCAGATGGAACTTTGTAATTATTTTAAATTTTCTGGATGTTTGATGCAATCGGCGTCATGTTTCAACAGTTCCGTGCTGGATAAGGTCGGCCATGGCAACGCCTCCATATTCCATCACTTAATTCACTTGCCTGCAACACGCAACATTCGTTCCCCGAACGAGACTTTCTATCAACCTTTCCCAACGCCAGCTCTTCGCCGTGCTAACTCTGCTCTCACTCTAAAAATATTTTTTCTGTTATCACACAGCTCCTCACTCCTCCACCCCCAAACATTTCCAGCTGAATTTATTTTTGCATGCATATCACTTTCATCTATTCTCTTCCTTCTAATTTCACATTCAGTTTCCTTTTCCAATATCTGATGTCGCCTATAGATCTAATTATATTTTTCCTTTATTAATACTCATATTTCAAAAGTGAGTTACTCTTCCATCTTCTCCGTAACATCTTAATAATACTATTGCCGTCTCTCCGTACCGAGCCGGGTCACGACCTTCTACTAGCAATTGAATTTAGGTTGGTAGCAACCAAAATCACTGGGAAACAAATGAAAGGGGCAACACTTTCAGCATCTCTTTTGATTGTGGCGGGTATGAAATTTACGTTTTCTTTTGTTACAAGGTGGCGTTCATACTACCAACATAATGTCTGTTTCTAACACTTTCACTAGCGAAGTGTCACTGCGGAGATACGTTGCTCACGCACAGTATAACAGTATTTTAGATGCTCACATACTCGATAAATATGATTGATAATCGAATATGTAACGGTACTTATTACGTTCTAAATCAATTTACTGTAATAAAAGAAATTATTTTTGGGGGCAAAATATAGCATAAATGAGTATCAGTAACATTTATTGTCAAAACCTTAGATGTGAGGTGCTGTGATTAATACTATTCCAAACGTCTTCATCACACACAGTTTTGTCACTATTTGGGACGAGTAATATTGAGAAATAAGTATCAGCCTCACCCCTTGCGCTATTTCAATTCTCACGTGCTTTAAGATTTAATTCACTGGTCGAATTATACTTTTACTCCCACCCTGTCTTTCGTACTGCAATACACTCCACCAAGAACGGATCCCTTGATAAAAGCATTTACATATTACTGTTGTTTATTATAGTTCAAGGTAATGAGAGTGACCTATGTGTCTTGGCTGTATTGATCAGAAAATTTGATTTTGATCAGAAAAAGGAAAATTTGAATAGGAATAAAAGTTCTTGTATGACCATAAAATATTCCTAGCATTGACGTACTCCTCTCACATCCTCCTCATTTCATTTTCAATCAAAGTAGCATGGTTGAAATTAATTAGACGAAAAGACTAAAGCAGTTATAAAACTCCCACTTCTTAGGTCTGACGCATAGTAACGAGTGAATGTATAAAAGGTACTTGTAGATTTAATATTTCATGTCATGTTAATGTAAACATTATTTAATATACGTTAAGGTGAAAATTCTACCTCAGTATTCTAGAAATTTCTTTATCGCAAAATAAGTGTTGTACTTGTATCTGACAATAGCTTTCTCATGTGCCAGTTTTTAGTTAAAATTTTAATTTCCTAAAAAATTAATACAAAAATGAAATAATAGACAAAAATGAAGCAGATAAAAGCAAACTAAATGAAAATAATGTAATCTAATTTTATAACTTTTATTTCGGAAAATTAAAGTTTTGTTTCAGATAAAAATATAGATGAAACATTGTCCTATCGCCCAATCTCCAAACAATTTGTTCGTAAACAACACTGTAGTACCACGAACGAAACATACTTCGTAATCTATCGCACACTTCAAAGTGACACTGGTAAGGAAAAATCGAATGAAATTCCTCATTCACAAACGCCTGTTCAGCGTGTCCTCTTCCTCACTCACAAAGGTGTCTACGAGGCGCGAGCGTGCGTGCTTATAGCACGAGCGGGCGCGTGGTACCCGCATGTGCAAGATTTTAAATTTTAAAATCAAATAAATTAAAATTAAGTGACGTATATTAGTGTTAACTATATGAAAATAATATAATATAATTTAATAACTTTAATTTCTGAACATTTATATTTTACTTCAGATAAAAATGTTAATTCAAGTTTTTACCCATCGCTTAATCTCTAAACAATTTGTTCGTAAACAACAGTATAATACAAATACAAAGACACAACAATGTAATGCAAAGATAATATAAGCCGCGAAGAAAACAACAATGTGAGCCACGAAGAAAACAACAAAGTAATGCGAAGAAAGAAATATACTTCGTAATTTGTCACCTACTTCAACGTGCCTGTTAGGGAAAATCGAATGAAATTCCACATTCACAAACGCAGATTCCATCTCCAGCGGTCACCCCGCCCTCTCTCGGTGCCTTTTCCTTCCTCGCAAAGGCGTGGACGGAGGCGCGAGCGTGCGTGCGCGGGAGCGGATGCGTGGGCGGCGGGGGTGGGGGCGGTCCCCGGTGCATAATTCAGCGCGGCAATCGATATGCGGCCGGACCCGCGGTCGCCGCCCAGCCGGTGCGACTCCGACGACGCCGACGCCGTCGCCGTCCGTGCGTTTTTACCGCGATGGCGACGAGTCCCGACAGCTTCCGCGCGTCGCAGATGCTCCCGGAGAGGACGCGAACGAATTCAAATGGCCCCCCGGTTTCGAAGGGAGTGAGCTCCTCGGGTTTTTGAAGATTGCACACAAGTCCTTGTAGATTGTGAGCAGGAGGTAGAAAGGGTTAGAATAGTTCCTATTAGGTCAAGGAGTTTCCTTATTCACTGGCAATGGATATAATTGCGAATTAATTTCTTTGACTCCAGTGAATAAGCTGGTGAGTCACAAATGCTTAAATTTTGCAGGAGAGCAAAAAAAACAATCTTTCAACTGAAGTAAATCGGGGATTAATGATATTCAAACAAAGATGATATTCCAACTAAACTATTTGTGTGTAGGTTTCGTTTGAAATCATTAATCCCTGGTTTACGGCATCAGCTGAAAGTTGTTTTTGTGGCTCTCCTGTAAACTGTAAGCATTCATGACTTATCAGATTTTTCACTGGGGTGAAATATTTAAGAGCTTGATGTTTGTTGCCGATTCGATCTGTAAGGTTAGAGGCGTGCAGTGGCCATGCTTGTCAAACTGTTCGCAAATTCGATTTCCGCTTAGGTATGGTTATTTACCCAAGTATTGCGACGTGGTCGACTTTTCCACCAAACATCTTCTTTGAAACAGTTGCTATCTAGGTCTCCAGGAACGGCGTAGGAGC